GCAAAAGTGAAAAGTTCAGTGGAAAAATTAAGCCTTTAGGTATGTATAGCCATCAATTTACGAGAAACACAAAGAACAGAAGAACATGTCAAATGACACCACAGGGAGGCAGTCAGCAAAATCTGACTGTGGGAAATGCCACAATTTGATCAGGTTTTTTTCAACAACAACTTGCCAGTGTGGAGAAAAAAAGAGAGAAGAGGAACATGTAAAAGAGATTTATGAAACATACCAATTAGTCATTGTGTATGAACCATATTTGACCCAAATTTAAACAAACTGATTTAAAAGTTTAAAGGTCAAGTGGAGAAGTATACACGTCCAGATATTTGATGATATTAAAGAATTGTTATTTTTTAAATGAGATAATGGTATTGCAGTGCTTTGCTTTGTTTCATTTTGTTTTTAAGTGGCCTTTTAGATTCATAGTGAAAAACAAGTGATGCAATCGCTTAGACAGTCAAGGGCAGGGGAGTGGTAGGGACATTATGAGACAAAACTGGCCCTGTATTGGTGACATTGAAGCTGGGTGTAGGGTACATTGAGCTTATTACTCTAGTCTCTCTTCTTTTGTATATGTTTGACATTTCCCATAATAAAATACTTTTTTTAAAAAGAAATAGACAAGTCAGAGAAGAAAATAGAGGAAATTTTCCACCACCCACCCACCGCCCCAAAAAAGAAATAAAAGACAGAGGTAGAAAATAGGAAGCAAAGATATGAAAAATAAAGGATAAGTTCAGGATTTCCAAAAAATGAGAAGAGAAAATGGAAGGGAGAAAATGATCAAAGAAATAATATGAGAAAATTTCCCAGTATAGACAGCCATTGGTTTCTGAATTAAGGAGCCAGCCAGTCGCCAGCACCATGGGCGAAAAAAGCCCCACACCAAAGTATATAACTGAGAAATTCGTAACGTTGGTGGACTGGGCCACAGACCTCACACACCTTCCTCCACTCCTCTACTGCTCGTCTTTCTCTCTGGGACAGCTCCCTGACGGCAGCACATCTAGGCTGAGTTGCAGAACCTTATTCCCTGGGCATCTGCTCGTGGTCTGGATGACATACCTGGCAACATAGACAAATTAGCTCTTTGGGTAAGCTTTGAACAGTGGAAACAGCAGATGGGAGGGACAGGGCAACTAGATTCCCCTCCCCCGCTGTCTCCTGTGGCTCCTCCTTGGGCCCCTTCCAGAAAAGCCCCTGGTGCCTGATGAGCCAGCAGCCAGTCTGGCATCACATCCCCCTTCCTGCACTCCTTTTGTCCCCTCCACATTCTATTATAAGCAAAGTCGAAGGAATTTCACAGTGAGCACCTGTGAAATACCCACTATCTAGAGTTTATCATAGACATTTTAAACAGCTTTATTGAGGTATAATTTAAATACCATAAAATCCACCCATTTAAAGTGTGCTGGGTTTTAGTATATTTACAGAAGTGTGAAAGAAAACATTACCCCAATCAATTGTAGAACATTTTCTTCTCCCACTAAAGAAACCCCATACCCTTTAGTAGTCACTCCAATTCCCCTGCTTTCCCATGCCTAAGCAACCACTAATCTATTTTCTATCTCTGTGGAATTGCCTACTTTGGACATTTTATATAAATGGAATCATACAATATATGGTCATCTGTGACTGGCTTCTTCTATCTAGCATAATGTTCTCAAAGTTCGTCCATGTTGTAAAATGTATTAGTGCTTTTTGTATCAGCCTTTTTGTGGCAGAACAATATTCCCTTGTATACCATCAACATCTTACAGACTTGCTTTATCGCATGTCTATCCACCTATCCACCCTCTATGCATCCACCGAATCCATCTTGTATCTTTTATGTATTTCCAAATAAGCTCCTTCCCTTTTTTCCCAACCTTCAGCACCTTCAGCTCTCAAATAAAGAGCTCACCTCTCAAATAAAGCTCATATGGCTGCCCTACGTGCAAAGGAGGCTGGAGACGGTACCCTTAGTCACCCGGCCTCTACAGCAGAAAGAGGCAAGGGAAAGGGGAGACTGGGAGTGGATTTTGCTACCTTGGCATGCAGTTTCTCAGTCTCATTTACATCTCTCCCTCCAGCCCCCTCCCACCATAGTATCCCACAGATCCTATATTCCAGAAATGCCAAATTCCCTACAGTTCTCGGAACACCCCACATTTTTCCTGTCTCCATCTCTTGCACGTGCTCATTGCCTGCATAGCCTTCTAGGTCTGACAGTTTCTTCCCTTGTGATTCAGCTCAGCTGTGGCTCTCCCGTGAATATGTCCAACAAGCACACACCTCGGACCTCCTTGCTTCACACGCCCATTATGACATTTACTCTACTTTATTGAATTAACCTTCTGACCTCTCTGTCTCTATGTCTCCAAATCCTCAAGGGCAGGAGCCAGGCCTTATATGTCTCGGTATTCCTGGAACTCATTTCGGGGCATGACTCAATAAATGTTTGCTGCATAATGAATGGAAAACATCTAGTCACCATCTTTACTGTTGTTTATTTAACAAAAGTTTTGTTGGGCGTGCACCAAATGAGACGCTGTGATGAGTGCCTGAATTTGGATACAAAGATGAGTAAGACTATACCCTGGCCTCAGAGACGCCTACAGGGTCCTTTTGTTTGGACAAATGCAAAACTGGACAAGATGCCAGGACAACAGATGTAAACCAGGACTGTCCCGGGCACACCGGAACATATGGTCACCCAAATTACATACCAGCTTCTCTGAAAGCAGCAGTGCCATGGTGACTCATGCCCAGCCCGTTAGACCCTAGTCACTGCCAGAATTTCCTCGTTCAGGCCAATTAGTCTTCCTTCATTAGTACTTGGATCATATATGTTTTTTCATTGTTATCATCCATATAGAAATCATCTACAAAATTTCATATTCCCAAAGCATTACATATACAGTGCACCTAAAAACACCTCATGAACAGATAAATAATTTTCAAACTTTTTTTTCAGGAGGAAGTCTTGCTATGTCACCCAGGCTACAGTGCAGTGGCTATTCTCTTGCACCACAGCTTCATGCTCCTGGGCTCATGTAATCCTCCTGCCTCAACCTCCCAAGTAGCTGGGACTACGGGGACACATCGCTTTGCCTGGCTTTTCCAAACTTTTTTTATGTACTGAAATTCACAGCTGTCATCAGTGCATGACGCACATACGTATATAGATTTCTTGGTATTAACAATAAACTCTGATGTGTTGTCTTTATTGATGGGCCTTTGGTTGTTTCCAGCTTGTGCCCATTATGAATAATGGAACTACAAACATCTCAACATACATTCCTTTTTCTTTCTTCTTAGTTATTTCTTTGAGGTACATACTTTAAGGTTAAACAATCTGGTTAAAGGACAGGAACCATTTGATGTCTTTTATTTTCCATTGTTCTCTGTCATATTGCTCTCCTAAAAGTCTGAATCAATCTACAGAGCATATTTATCTGTTTTCCAATATGCCAATATTTTAAATTATCATTTTTATGTAATAATAGAAGCTATGGTCATTTTAGGGTGTTCTTTACTTGTATTTTTAACTGCTACAGAGGTTATTCTTTGTAGTATACTTTAACCAAAAGCAACCATATAGATTTTGTGAAAATATATTCTAATGTAAATATAAACTTTATAACTACAAGGTATATTGTAGATGTTCATTAAATATTTGTTGCATAAATAAATGTATTAAAATTACACACAGGCCGGGTGCAGTGGCTCACGCCTGTAATCCTAGCACTCTGCGAGGCCGAGGCGGGTGGATTGCTCGAGGTCAGGAGTTCAAAACCAGCCTGAGCAAGAGCGAGACCCCATCTCTACTATAAATAGAAACAAATTAATTGGCCAACTAATATATATATACAAAAAATTACTCAGGTATGGTGGCACATGCCTGTAGTCCCAGCTACTTGGGAGGCTGAGACAGGAGGATTGCTTGAGCCCAGGAGCTTCAGGTTGCTGTGAGCTAAGCTAATGCCATGGCACTCACTCTAGCCTGGGCAACAAAGTGAGACTCTGTCTCAAAAAAAAAAAAAATTACACACAGCCATAAAAAGACAAATACTGCATGAGGTACCCAGAGTAGTCAGATATATAGAGACAGAAAGTAGGATGGTGGTTGTCAAGCGTTGGGGGGAGGGGAAATGAGAAGATGTTGTTTAATGAGTATAGAATTTCAGTTTTGCAAGTTGAAGAGTTCTGGAGATTGGTTGTGCAACAGTGTGAATATACTTAACACTACCGAACTTACACTAACAAATGGTTAAGATGGTAAATTTTGTGTGTGTTTTACCATTTACACCACAAGTGTACTACCATAAGTATATATAAACATGCACATATATATTTAACCCAATGATCATTTGGCATATATAGTCAGTAGAAGTGTGTTTACAATATATAGTCATACATGTTAAATAAAACTTCATGTATGGAATTTTCTCATTTAACATGACAATATTAATTTTTCAATGCAGACCCAGGCAGACAGAGACGTGTGGTATTAATGTCATTACATAGCAAATAGAGTAAGAAATGTCATAGACTAGACAATATTATATGGACATTCACTATTAGTAATAAAGTGCTTCGACCTTAAAAATTTCATTTTATCTGCGAATTTAAAAAAAAAGAAGCAGAGCTTAAGGGGATGTTAGAGACACCCACTTGAACTTTTCATCTTAAAGATAAGGTGAGGAGATCAAGAGGCTAAGTGATTTTCCCACTCCAAAGGCAGCCACATCTGTTGCTTTTATAATGACCTCAGCCAACAACTCTTTGTCTCATTGGCCAGAATGGATCACATGGCTTCCCTTGCTGCACCAGAGGCTGCTGGGAAAGCAAGGAAAGAATAGGATAGATACATTGCCACCCCAAACAAATTAGGGTTCCCTGACCAAGGAAAGAAAAGGAGAATGAGTATTGGGTAGGCAACCAGCAGTATCTGCTACACTCACCTAAATGTCTTTGTTTTGTTTTGTCTTATTTTTTTGTTTGGGATGTTATAGGCTGGAACCAATGGTTACATGGCTCCTGAAATCCTAATGGAAAAAGTGAGTTATTCCTATCCTGTGGACTGGTTTGCAATGGGATGCAGCATTTATGAAATGGTTGCTGGACGAACACCATTCAAAGATTACAAGGAAAAAGTCAATAAAGAGGATCTAAAGCAAAGAACTCTGAAAGAGGAGGTCAGATTTCAACATGATAACTTCACAGAGGAAGCTAAAGATATTTGCAGACTCTTCCTGGCTAAGAAACCAGAGCAACGCTTAGGAAGCAGGTAAACTACCATATAACAGAGATGGTTGCTAATGTCAGCATTGTCCACAGTGATTTGGAAAATATTTTAGATTTGTGGCAAAGTCTTGGAATTAAGTATTATTATTTTCCTTTTATTATTTGCATATTATGTGACTATTTCTAATATTTTCAAACACTATAAGCACTTGATATGGAACAATCTCTAAGATATACTTTAAAGTAAATAAAAGGAGGTACAAAACACCTTGCATTTAAAGAAAGAGAAAAAGAATACATAATTCAAATAGTTGCATAGAATATTTAAAGGGAGTATACAAGGAATTTATAGGACTGGTTACTTCTGATGAAGGGAAATTGGGGGCTGGTGACAAGGATGCAATTAAAGATTTTCCATGTATACCCCTATTGTCTTTTGAATTTTGAGCCATGTGAATGCATTATCTATTCAGAAATGATTAAAATGAAAACTTTAAAGCAGTACTGATAGTCATAGGCCTGGAAAATTCTGCCCCTTTCAAATGTTTCCCATAAAATATCATAAATCTTTCAACAGATATTTATGGAGTACATAAGATGTTGCCAGCTGTTAAGTACAGTTAAAATTTGTTTTGAGGAAAACCAAGTTTTATGGTTTATAATGGAATAACAAGAACAAGATATTCTATTGTCAAGAAAAAATAAGTTAAAGCTGACCTCTGAAATGACCCTGGGCAGGGGATGACACTATTATATAGAGAGAAAATGGAAAGCTTTAGATTTACAAACATAAATTCATGTCCCAGCTCTGCTATATACTGATTGTTTTTACCTCAAGCAATTGAATTACTTTTCCTTAGAGTCAACATCCTTATATATAAAATGGGGGACGGTTATGGGTGTAATGGTTAATTCTATATGTCAACTTGGCTAGGCCACAGTACTCAAATATTTGGTCAAACATTATTCTAGATGCTTCAGTGTAGATTTTCAGATGAGATTAACATTTAAATCAGTAGACTTTGAGTAAAGTAGCTTTGAGTAAAGCTTACCCTCTATAACGTGGGTAAGCTTTATCCAACCAGTTGAAAGCCTTAATAGAAAAAGACTGATCTCTCCAGAAGAAATAGGAAATTCTGCCAGCAGACCACCTTTGGGTTCAAACTGCATCTCTTCCCTGGGTTTCCAGCCTGCTGGGCTACCCTGCAGACTTTGGACTTGCCAAGCCTCAGCAATTATGTGAGCCAGTTTCTTAAAATAAATTCTCTCTCTCTCTCTCTCTCTCTCTCCCTCCCTCCCCTCTCATACATTGTCAGGGAAGAAACACTTTCTCTACCTCTTATGTTCAGACCTTGGGGACATACAAATAAAACCAACAAAAGACAGATTAGCAAGGCAAAAAATAGATTTGTATTCACCTACCTGGGTGGGAGTTCACTGAAAAATGTGACTAGAAGACAGAATATATACCATCTTAATAGAGGAACGGGAGGGGGAGAAGGGCACTTAAGGGAAAACAAATGACTTCTTGGGGACAGGGGGGAGGAGAAAGAACACTTAATTTTTGCTATTAATTTTTGGCCTGGTTTTTAAAAAATAGCCAAACAAAATTCATTTGTTAGTAACTTTCAAGTCTCTTCAGCTCAAAATAATTTGTTTTTTCACAGTGGTGCACCTGTACACCTTCAACACCATGCTGGTTCTGTTTCTCACTAACAAATACAGTGGGATATTTTGAGGTTTAGATACATATGTAAAGGTAGATAAAATGTGTGTTGGGAATTATTCAATAAGTGATAACAACAATTATTAATTTGTTCTAATGGAGATGTCAAATAATATTTTAACTAAACTGTGAGCTTGAATGTCTTAAATTACTTGGATTGAATTTTTAAAATCTAAAACATATATATTTAACAAATAAAAAATCTACAACTATAAAGTACTATAACTGATTTTGAAGGTAAGTCTAGGACATAGACAGCCAAATTACTCTAAGTCTTCCAAGTAATTGCCATTAGAGGTTTTAGAAGAAGACTGTAGAAGAGCCTTAGCTCAAAATGTTCAAGCATGCAGGCAAGCTATTAATTTTGATCTGATTTTTTTAAAATGGCCAAACAAAATTCATTTGTTAATAACTTTCAAAGCATGACAGATAACCAAATGAACTAGTGAGTATTTGAAATTAGATAGAATTCTACAGCTATTTTATGTGGAAGTAAAATATGGAACTAATTTTCCTGCACAGATTCCAACATGGCATTAGTAAGGTCAGAACACACTATATTGTGATAATAAGCAAACCCCAGAGTCTCAGCAGCTTAAAATTTTTTTTTAAATTGCTTTTCATTCATACAAAGTCCGTTGTAGGCCCAGTTGCTCTCTGGGGCATCTCTCTTCCAAGCAAAGACTCAGGGATCCAGGCTGTTTTCATCAATGCTACCCTGGGACTTCTGGCCACAAGTGGTGCTGGCGGAAGAGAGAACATAGAGACCTTATAGAGCTTTTTACTGCCTCAGCCAGGAAGTGACATTTTACTGCCTCAGCCAGGAAGTGACATTTTACATGTCACTTCACACACACGCTGTCACTAGAACTAGTCCTCGGGTTTGCCTAAGGGGGAAGGAGCTGGCAAGTGTTGTCTTCTGTGTGCCCAGGAAGGAGAGGCAAACAGGATACAGTGACCAGGATGATCACCCCATCTCCATCCTCGTGGACCTCAAGTTCAGGGAGTATCGGCAGGCACACGCACAGTGGCAGAGTCAGCAGGGACACCAACGGTCTCTTTAGATGATGCCCCCGAAGGGAACACCACCCACTCGGATGCCTCAATTCACATGTTTGCAAATCTATCTCAACACTCTATAAGCACACCCTTGGGTTTATAAAATGAAATATTGACAAACTTCTTCAGGAAAATGCCACCTTAAAGCACTTTGCCTAAATCAGCTTCATCAAGCAAAGCTTTTTTAATAAAGTATCTGTTGCTATGACTATTTCAGGTAAGACTTTTTATAATATAAGAGAAAAAGCATATAAAAAAAATAGCTGTTAGCCATGTGCAGTGGCTCACACCTATAATCCTAATACTTTGGGAGGCCAAAGTAGGAGGATTGCTCAAGGCCAGGAGTTCAACACCAGCCTGAGCACTATATGAAGACCTTGTCTCCACAAAAAGTAGAAAAATGAGCTGGGCGTGGGGGCACATGTCTGTAGTCCCAGCTACCCAGGAGGCTGAGGTGGGAAGTTCCCTTGAGCCCCAGGAGCTTGAGGTTGCAGTGAGCTATGATCACACCACTGCACTCCAGCACTGCTCTGAGTAAGACCTTATCTCAAAAACAAACACACAAAAAACACACAAAAGCCCAACTGCTCAGTGAAAGAGAAAAGCTCCCAACATTTTTATTCTAACTCTTTGTATTTTTAAAAAATGTATTCAACTGAGATACTGCAGGATTAAGGTGGTGGTTATCCTCAAAAGCCAACGTCTAGACAGCATGTTTCCCAGCATTTGAAATGAATTAAAAACCATTCTCCTGTAGACACCATTGAAGAGGATTACTGTCTTTGCCTTTATGGGTCTGGAAGTTAATTTTGCAGAGAAGCCAAAAGCTTTTCTGAGCACTTTACAGGGGCTCCAGACAGGGTCAACTATAATGTGTTCCAAAATAAATATATATATTTTTAAAATAAAAGATAAAGACCACTTAAGATTTTTTATAGATTTGATTCTGATCAGTCAACACAGCAGAGCAAGAGCAAATAACCATGCAATCTGTGACTTAAATGCTTCTCTGACATACAATTTCATGCCAATCCCCATTGTTCTTGACAGACCAAATCCTAGAGTGTATGGGCAGGTGGAGCCTTGGCTTCATTGACTATTATAAGAAAATCCATCGTAATGTCTGTGTGGGGTTTGATAACAGAAGAGCTTCTGTTAACGCCTGGAAATATATTCCTCTGCAGCAAGCAGAAGTCTTTCTTGCAGCTGCCAGTTAGGCTATTGCAATAGATGCTGCCTCCCTCAACAGCCTCTCCTATTTGTCTAAAGCGCACTGCACAACGGTGGGCCAAGAGACCCCTGCACAAAGCTGCCAGGAGAAGATTCAAGAGTAAGATAGTCCTCGTGCTATTTTAATGACAGAACTGTGATGGCAGTTGCTAATGCCAAAGATCAAAGTGATCCGATTCATGGTGGCCCAGACACAGGGTGAGGAGTAGAGATCAGAAAGCCTGGTCTCTATTGGTAGCATTGACAACCACAGACACTTCTTGGGAAAAAGTAGAAGACACAGGTCCTGCCCTCCAGGTGCATCTAGCAGGATTGCTGAAGAACATAAAGGAAACCTCGAAATGGTCCATGGTTCTCTGGTCTTTCACGATTAGTCGCAAAAGGGCTGCAGTCAGCCAACTCTGATGGACAAACCAAGACCACCTGCGCTGGGCGTGCTTGAGATGCTATTTGAGAACTCTCCATCCTGATGAGTCCCAAGGTAGCCAAGCTCCTGGGCACTGTCCATGTTAGAGCTGGTGAGAGGGAGTTTTAAGGGCCCTTTTAAGGCCCCTGTGTCAGCGTGTTCCTGCCAGCGGTCATGGAAGTGATACAAGCTCCTTGCCTGTGGCCCTTAGTCCCATTCCAGCTCCTTCATTATCTTTGAGACATACACGTGTAGGGCTGATTCCTGATCTACCTGGGTGGAATTCTAGCTCTATCCTTCTCCTGCAACATTTAAAATCCACCTGATACCTTAGGCCAAGCGCGGTGGCTCACGCCTGTAATCCTAGCACTCTGGGAGGCCGAGGCAGGCAGATCGCTCAAGGTCAGGAGTTTGAAACCAGCCTGAGCAAGAGAGAGACCTTGTCTCTACTAAAAATAGAAAGAAATTAATTGGCCAACTATCTATATATAGAAAAAATTAGCCGGGCATGGTGGCGCATGCCTGTAGTCCCAGCTACTCGGGAGGCTGAGGCAGGAGGATCACTTGAGCCCAGGAGTTTGAGGTCACTGTGAGCTAGGCTGATGCCACAGCACTCTAGCCCAGGCAACAGAGTGAGACTCTGTCTCAAAAAAATAAAAAATAAAATAAAATCCACCTGACACCTTAGAAAGGGGAATGTTTCTGTGCAAATTATATCTCAATAAACCTGACTTTTTAAAAAATCTATCTTTGAAGCTTCAATTTATCTCAGTAACCCTCCCTCAAGACTCTTAATCTATAAGCATGTAAACCACACAGAAATGGGGCGGGAGGTTCTGGGAGCTGGCAAGCCTGCATTTTCCTTTCATTCAGTAGATGGGAACTTGGTGGCTTTTGGAAGAAAGGAGACACTTTTGTAGCACCTCTTGCTGCAGCTCTCCATACACAGTGCGGAACGCCCAAGAAGTTCTAGTCGGACCTTTCTGGATGGGGCTAGGCCTAAGTCGGCAGAACAGCAACCTGACGGTGGCTGGACATCAGACGCCTCCAACTCTTTCTCTTTTCCATAATAAAATTTGATTACAATTTTTCCTTTGAAACAGTCATCTATTTTCTCTGGCTTCCTCAGATGCTCGGCTATTTATATTTCGTCACCACTTGCTCTCCAGGCTTCTTCGCTGCTGGCATAAACAAGCCACTGTTAAGATGGCCAAACTGCGTTGATAGTTTAGGTGCATACTTTGATTAATTGTACTGCTTTTTGCTGGAGATACAATAAACTACACTTTTGATTTGAAATCGGACATTTCATACTGAATGACCTAATACAGGCATTAGAGACAGAGAGGGCTGCTGTGCTAGTTGCATGTAATCATGTAAGTGAGGAGCTGAACGTTCTGTTAGCTGAGAATAGGCCCTGAATAAATGCCAGTTATCCTTATGTTTGTCATCAGTTGTGTCATTATTGTGTTTCGCCTTTAGTCCTCCTACCGGGCAGAGTCTGTTGCAGTTATCATCGGCACGGGGGAGTCTCAGAAGAGGATCTGCGGGGGAAGCTCTCCATCCTTTCCTGGAAAGCTTTTTGGCATCTGGAATGAAAAACATAAAGGAGAGACTATGAATGTGATTAATTTCTATTAAGGTTGATTTATGACAGAAGTAGACTTCTTTCAAAAGGAAGACATTTCTTAATCAGACCAGGAAATCTCTTCACATTTTTAAAAAAGAAGAATTCATCTTGAATCTGATACCACAAAACAGCCCCCTTTTTATTTAGTTAAAGCCCAGCTTTGAAAGGAGCCAAGAGAAGTATGTTGGGCAGCCTGTAAGATGGTTCCCAGTGATCCCTGTCTCCTGGCAGTCACACCCACGTGTAATCCCTTTGCCTTTCACGTGGGCTGCACTTATTGACTTGCTTCTAGCAAATGGAATGTGGCAGAAATAATGAGATGAGTCTTCCAAGATTAGGTCATAAAAAGACTGTGGCTTCTGTCTTGGAGGCATGCAAGCTTGATCTCTCTCTCTCTCTCTCTCTCTCTCTGTCTCTCTCTCTCATAATTTGCCTTGAGAAAGTCACCTGCAACGTTATAAAGCAGTCCTGTGGAGAGGCTCCTTTGATGAGGGATAGAGGTTTTGACACTAACCACACAAGTAAGCTTGGAAACAGATCCATCCCCCAACCTCAGTTGAACCTTCAGATGAGACCACAACCCTGGCCAACGGCTTTACTGCAACTCCACAAGAGACTTCGAGCCGGAGACACCCACTTAGGCCATGTCCAGTTTCTTGACCCACAAAAACTATGAGATCATAAATGTTGTTTAAAGCCACTAAATCTGGGGGCAATTTGTTACATAGCAATAGATGACTAATACGAGAGGTTACGCAGGAACATACTTTTTTCTCTTATTCTAAGGCAGATACTGGAATAATTTCTAGCATAGAGAGGAGGGTTTGATAATAATAACCATAGTCTTGAGCACCAAATTGTATGTTCATTTTTACTATTGCAAACTACTAATGGATTTTAAGTCTTTAAAGAAATACCACCCAGATTACTGTGGCAGTTGGGAGGTGGGTGTGGCTTCTAGAAATCATATCATGCTATCAGTGAGGAATATGAGTGCTGTCTTTTGAAATGTGAGTGGTGGGGAGGGAGGAGAAGGTGAGGCCGGAAAAAAAAAATTAAAAATAGGAAAAAAATGTTAGTGGTGGTTGTGTGGAACAAAGATATACTTAACTTGTTCTGTGAAGAGGCAATGACAAGAAGCAAGCAGGTCTGGCTCCATGGAACTTTCCAGGTATTTCCATGAAACACCAAGGTAAAAGTCATGTCAAATGTTTGACTTTAAAAATTACATGCATATGTGAATGATGTCTGCAAACAAAGAAAATGCTACTGTTTATATATAATGGAATTTGGGGTGATTTTAAAAGTTATTATTTTTCAAAGTTATTCTTTATGTCATTGCATTGTCTTTGTCATTGAAATGTAACGTATTCTAAGAAAAGAATCCTGCACCCTTTGTATTGTTACAAAATACCTTTCCTATTTTGGTTTGGTAACTATGTCTGAGGCTGATCATCTCCTTTCTTCACAGAGACAAGTCCGATGACCCCAGGAAACATCCTTTCTTTAACACCATCAACTTTGCTCGCCTGGAAGCCGGCCTAATTGAACCCCCCTTTGTGCCAGACCCTTCGGTGGTGTATGCCAAAGACATCGCTGAAATCGACGATTTCTCAGAGGTTCGGGGGGTGGAATTTGATGAGAAAGATCAGAAGTTCTTCCAGAGATTTGCAACAGGTGCTGTCCCCATAGCATGGCAGGAAGAAATTATAGAAACAGGACTTTTTGAGGAACTGAATGACCCCAACAGGCCCACAGGTTGTGGGAGGGGTAATTCCTCCAAGTCTGGTGTGTGTTTGTTATTATAAATTGTTTTCTCTACCAGGCAGGCAGCAGAAGTCTCGCTGACATAATCCTCAAATGTTCCTAACCCACGGGAATCTGTTGAAGGGGGGCTGGTCAATTAGGAGGGACACTGCAACCACAGAACAGTTCAGAGAGCAGGAGAGCTGACTCTAGGACATGTTTTCTTTTTTCTTTCTTTCTTTTTTTTTTTTTCATAAAGATGAGTAAAATCTCAGTTTTCGCTGAAGACTAGCAAAAGGAACACTCAGGTTTATCTTGATAAATTAAAAGCATGAGCCCTCCACCATCACGTCCCTGGGAATTATGCAAAGTCCTAGGAATAGAGAATGGAACTTTGTGGTGTACCCTGAAAATGAGCATTTGCAATTCTTAGTAAATAATCATTTTAGTTCTTCTTTGTTTATATCCTTTCTTCCCCTTCATCTTTTGGTATTTCTTTTACTTCTGTACTTACAAAAAGGATTTTGAAGCTGGAAATAAACATTCCTGATGTTGTCTCCTTAAAAAGGAGTAGATTGCAATATTTTAGATTACAGAATAATTTTCCATTTCATTCATAGTTTCTTTTTCATGTTTTTGAAATGACTTGCTATCATAATGTTGAAGCATTTTAGATGTAAATATCCATGAAGTCTGTGAATTAAACTATTCTGTAAATTTAGTTGAGTCCTTTAAGTGTTATAATACGCTACAAATTGCTCACACTTGCAATACCAAATGCTATTGATTCCTAAACTTTGCCAAACTTTGGGATCACCTAGGGATCTTTTAAAATACTAATGCATGACTCTCACTCCTAGACATTCTGATCCCCACCCTCAGGTATGGGGTACAGCTTGGGCATTTCAATTTTCAGAAGCTCCCCAGGTGATTCTAATGTGTAGCAAAATTTGGTAGACACTGCCATGTATTAAATACAATTAAATGTTACTACATGTGAGTCCTTATTTTAGTTGCTCAAAACTTCAATCATACATCTTGATGGTAACTATTCAAATATCCCCAAAGCATATAATTTTAGCAATTGCAGTGTAAATCAAACTGAAGACAATCTGAATTCATCTTGTAGATTCCTCTTGTCCTTGCATACTTTAGTTCAGGCATCCTCAAACTACGGTCCGCGGGCCACATGCGAGTGTTTTTGCCCATTTGTTTTTTTACTTCAAAATAAGATATATGCAGTGTGCATAGGAATTTGTTCATAGTTTTTTTTTAAACTATAGTCCAGCCCTCCAACAGTCTGAGGGACAGTGAACTGGTCCCCTGTTTAAAAAGTTTTAGGACCCCTGCTTTAGTTCCTCACACCTATCTTGGGACTTAGATTTCTTGGCTATTTCAAGGCCTGAAGGAGACATTTGGGCTTAGAAATTAAGTTGAACAAATTGTGAGGCCCCATTTCAAGAGGTTGCCCAGCCAGCACTGTATTATAGAATACTTCTCAAAAGCACAGCCACAGTGAGAACGCTGTCTGCAAAAAATATATTTGGGACACAAATATAAATCTGGGTGATATATTTAAAAAGAAAGAATATATGTGTGCATAATGAAATCTCATTTGTCCCATTGGTGAAAAACCTGGCTAAAGTCATTTTAAAAGTCGTGCTCTTTGAATAAGGGATGCAAGAGTTGCAAATATACTGGCTGAGAAACTTTTGGTTAGCTAGAATCCAACTAACAGAAATACTCATCTACAAGACAGTATTAACCCTATCTGGCGAGTGAGAAGAGCCCCTCTGGGAGTTGAGGCCTGGCCTGGTGCACACGTTGTTTACTCTCTCACTCCTACTCCATCCTCAGCGTGCTCCCTAGTGCTCCAAATCCTAACCTGGAAAGCTGCACAGTCCTCACCAAAGCAGGGTACAATTATTTTGTGCCCACTAGATTCTTTTTCCTAAGGCAAGAAAGTAGATTAAAAGTTGGTAAAATATTGGTAAAATTTCTAACAAGTCTCTTTTAACAAAAAACTGATTAACAGTGAACAAAACTTCAGTTAACCAGAGCATTTCCATAGTAGAGTTCCCAGGATTTGGCTTCATAGACATTAGAAATAAAAATAACATCGTGCCAGGATCAGTGGCTCAGGCTGATAAACCCAGCACTTTGGGAGTCCAAGGCAGGAGGATCACTTAAGGCTGGGAGTTCTAGAACAGCCTGGACAACATAACAAGACCCTATCTCTACAAATAAATAAATAAAAACTACATCTTGTTTATTTGTCAATTATGCCTTAACAAAGCTGGGGGTGGGGAAATAATAGAAACTAATAATTAAAGACAAATAGCCCAATTTAAAATGGACAAATAACTTGGAAAGACACATACACACAATTTTTTTTTAATAAAAATGTCTTCTTTACTTGCATTAGTTCCTTAAGGTGAATTTTTGCTGCTTTCAATAAACTTTAAATCTTCCCACAACCACGCTTGACTAGCTTTAAAAAAAAAATAAAATAAAATAAAATAAACTTTAAATCTGTTTCATTTATTAGAACTAACTCAGGAAAATAATTGAATAAATAGTAAATAACTATGTAAGTAGTGAAGATTTGATAAGTAACTATACAAATAGTAAATAATATATATTCCCAGCTACTTAGGAGGCTGAGGCAGTAGGATTGCTTGAGCCCAGGAGTCTATAATGTTTAACACCTCTATGTCTTTGTTTCCCCTGATATTTCATTATGTTTGTTGAACTTTTCTATAAAAACATAAGCTCACTCTAACTTTTTAAAAATAAGCAAGCATCATCTCTTTTCAAAAATCACTTCCTTCCTTTGATGAAACATCCATCTGCATCTTATTTACGTCTTTCCTTAAATCCCCCCCATAACCTGCACCGGTCCCTTTGCATTTCTGTCGTCTCCAATGTTTAGTCTCCCCAATCCGGCCTGTCCCTGCCCTGCCCTTGTCCAGATGAGCCTCCGTCACTTTGACTTGGCCCATGGGTTTCC